GGGACAGGGACAGAGGGACAGGGACAGAGGGACAGGGACAGGGACAGGGACAGAGGGACAGGGACAGAGGGACAGAGATGGGACAGGGACAGGGACACAGGGGAGAGGGACAGGGACAGGGACAGGGACAGGGACACAGGGGAGAGGGACAGGGACAGGGACAGGGACAGATGGACAGGGACAGGGACACAGGGGAGAGGGACAGAGGGACAGGGACAGAGGGACAGGATGGGACAGGGATGGGGACAGAGAGGGGACACTCACGTGGGGGGTCACACCCTCCAAAATGTCCCCAGTGCCACCTGCAGCAGGGTGTCCCCAGTGTCCCCAATGTCCCCAGTTTCTCCAGTGTCACCCAGAATGAGGTGTCCCCAGTGTCCCCAGTATCCCCATTAGTGTCCCCAATGTCCCCAGCGTCCCCATTGGTGTCCCCAGTGTCCTCATGGTGTCCCCAGTGTTCCTATTGGTGTCCCCATTGGAGTCCCCAATGTCCCCAATGTCCCCAGTGTCCCCAGTGTCCCCAGTGTCCCCAGCGTCCCCATTGGTGTCCCCGGTGTCCCCTCGATGTCCCCAGTGTCCCCAGCGTCCCCATTGGTGTCCCCAGTGCCCCTCGATGTCCCCAGTGTCCCCGATGTCACCTGGACCCAGTGTGTCCCCAATGTCCCCAATGTCCCCGGTGTCCCCATGGTGTCCCCAGTGTCCCCAGTGTCCCCAGTGTCCCCGGTGTCCCCAATGTCCCCAGTGTCCCCATGGTGTCCCTGGTGTCCCCAGTGTCCCCAATGTCCCCAGTGTCCCCGGTGTCCCCATTGGTGTCCCCGGTGTCCCCGTCGTTGTCCCCGGTGTCCCCGGTGTCACCTGGAACGGCGTCTGCCCGCTGTTGTTCTTCACCTCCTTGTTGGCCCCTCGGTACAGGAGGATCCGGGCGCAGCTCTCCTGGGGGACACCGGTGGCACCAAGATGTCACCAAGGTGGCACCAAGGTGGCACCAATGTGTCACCAAGTTGGCACCAAGGTGTGACCAATGTGTCACCAATGTGTCACCAAGGTGTCACCAAGGTGGCACCAAGGTGTGACCAATGTGTCACCAATGTGTCACCAATGTGTCACCAAGGTGTGACCAATGTGTCACCAAGATGTCACCAATGTGTCACCAAGGTGGCACCAAGGTGTGACCAATGTGTCACCAAGGTGGCACCAAGATGTCACCAAGGTGTCACCAAGGTGGCACCAATGTGTCACCAAGGTGTCACCAAGATGTCACCAAGGTGGCACCAAGGTGTGACCAAGATGTCACCAAGGTGTCACCAATGTGTCACCAAGGTGTCACCAAGATGTCACCAAGGTGGCACCAAGGTGTCACCAAGATGTCACCAAGGTGGCACCAAGGTGTGACCAATGTGTCACCAATGTGTCACCAAGGTGTCACCAATGTGTCACCAAGGTGGCACCAAGATGTCACCAATGTGGCACCAATGTGTCACCAATGTGTCACCAGCGTGTCCTCAACAATATGTCACCAATGTGTCACCAGCAGCGTGTCTCCAAGGTCCCCAATCCCCCATTTCCCACTGTGGCCCTCAATGGCCCCACTGTGTCCCCATAATGTCACCCCAATGTCCCCAGTGTCCGCAGTGTCCCCAATGTCCCCAATCCCCAATGTCCCCAATCCCCAATGTCCCTTTAGTGTCCCCAATGTCACCCCAATGTCCCCAATCCCCAATGTCCCCAGTGCCCCCAATGTCCCTTTAGTGTCCCCAATGTCACCCCAATGTCCCCAATCCCCAATGTCCTCGGTGTCCCCCAATGTCCCCAATTCCCCCGATGTCCCCAGTGTCCCCAATCCTCAATGTCCCCAAATGTCCCCAAATGTCACCAAATGTCCCCAGTCTTCCCAATGTCACCAACACCTCCCTGATGTCCCCAACCTCCGCAACCCTAAATGTCCCCAATGTCCCCAGTTGTCCCCAAACCTTCCCCAATCCTCCAATGTCCCCAATTCCCCCAATGTCCCCAATGTCCCCAATTCCCCCAATGTCCCCAATGTCCCCAATTCCCCCAATGTCCCCAATGTCCCCAGTGTCCCCAATGTCCCCAATGTCCCCGATGTCCCCAATGTCCCCGATGTCCCCAATGTCCCCGATGTCCCCAATCCCCTCAATGT